ATCTTACGCACACGTGCACGAAGCCTCTGAAAGCGTAATGCTCGTCCTGAGGTAACCTCTATGCCCAACACTTCTAGGGCCGACACATATCTATAACCAAACTTGCCGAGAGCACGACAAACTCGCTGGGCGATAGTAGGGTAAGCACAAGTCACGGTCATCTTGCGCTTGGCGGGCACCAAGTCAACGGAGCCGAGCACGTCCACCAACCCTTCCAACACATAACATGCGTGCTTGAAAATACTATCTACCTTAGCTTGAATCTGTACCGTCAGGTCGTCAGCATACACGTGCAGCGCGCGATCAATGCGCACCGAGCTACCATACAACGCGTCGACAGGCGGTAACAGAACCAGCTGTAATATGAACATAGCCATGCTACATCCTGGAAGTACTCCCCGAGAAGCAAACACAGGCTCCGAGAAAGCCCCAGCCCAGGCTAATCGTCGCTCGTACGTGTACATGCGCAAAGCTAGAGCCACCAGGGCCCCTGGGAAACCATGCTTGATGGCAGCTTGTGTGATGATGGCCCAGGGAACCCTGTCGAAACACTTCTCAATGTCCACGATGGCGTGTAGGCAGACAATGTCATCCCACTGCGCCTTTTTCTGCGGTGGGTGAGCTTCACCATGCAACAGCACACGCGAGGCGACGTCCGTGGTCGCCCTGCCCGTGCCGAGCGCGATATACGGTCGACCTAACCGATTGGCCCATCTTCGTACATGATCAATGCGAGCCTTGGCCCAAACTCGATATAAAGAAACCAAGAGAGCGATGGGTCGATAACCCCCAGCAGGTTTCTGAAGCAACACAATTTGTATATGCTGAAGATATCGAGGCCAGGAAGACCACGCCTCACATAAATGAAACATATATCCCAAGAAAGATAGAGCCCCATTCGACACCAGGGCCCAGTGCTTGGGCCTCCATAAGTCAGCACCTACAGCAGTCCTGGCAGGAAAGGCCTTGGCGGCCTTACGTAGCTCCTTGATGCCCATAGGTGGAAGCCGAGGACCCAAATCACGAAGCTGCGCCAGGTCGTGCTGCAGCTCATCCAGTGAGGCTGGCGAAGACCCACCGTCCCATATGCCTTCCCAAAACTCACGCTGAACGTTGGCCACATCATCGGCATGACTCGAAGGACCCAGGGAAGTGTGGACCTGGGGCAACTGCTACCCCCGAGGTTTCGTCCAGCAATGTACAGGCTTAGAACGGCTGCTCAAGCAATCCCTGAGCCATTTGACAAACCCCTGACCTCGAGCCTGGCCCAGCCGCCGTTCCTCGGCAGCAGCGAGATTGGACAGGGTGACGCAGAGGGTGCGGAGGAAGGCCACGTGATGCACGGACGGCTGCGCGAAGAAGCACGTGATGTAGTAGACGACCTCCTGAACCAAACTGGCGCCGAGCGCCGATGTAAGTCGTCGCAACCGACCCTGACCACCAACAAAATCGATAAGCGGTTGCCAGATCATGTTATGCTGCGGCAGGGGAGTGCACCCGTGCTTGGCCACTACGTGCGCGAGGTCTTCCAGCCGATGCTGCAGAGCCCGGACAGCACGAGAATGCGTAGTGCCAGCAGGTTGCTGACTGCCCAGAGCGCCTCCCGCCGTGGTCTTGCGGTAGGTGACCTGACGTCCACGGCCATGGTACTTGCCGTCGTCTGAGCAGTCAAACAGCGGAGCCAACTCCTTCTCAGCTCCTGCGTACAACTGTTGACATAGGAAATCCAAACGTCCCGCCCGCGACCTGTCGTCACCAGGCCCGAGTTGAGCATCCTGTCGCATCTTGTCCACCCAGTCGATGCCAGAGTCACCCAAGGGGACGGCGTCTTCTTCCTCATCATCCGAGTTGTCAGAAAGAAGTGGCTTGCGAGCTGGCTTACCAGGCCAAATACGCGGGCCCTGCAGCTGCGCTAGTTGACGAGCTCGAGGCCGAGGGCCAACTTGAACTCTCATTGGGAAGTGAGGGCGAGGCGGATAATCTTCGACGCGACGAGCATCGGACATCTCCGCCGCAAGGGCATCGCTGGCGAGCCAGTAGTCAAGAAAAGTATAAGTGCCATTTGCCGCAACCCGATGAGATCCAAGCGGAGCGACAATGAGGTGGCCATCGATGCGCTCCACGAAAGCACTGTCACTCAGCACCTGAGGGGAAACGTTCCAATCTCCACCGATAACGTATGGAGCGCGATAATATCTGAGCGCCTTGCCCAGCTGCTCGAGCCGAGGTATATTGTCACCCGTGAGACCAGGACCTTGCTCGAGATAAACACTGCCTGCCACAAACCCTCCTCGAGGACCCGTATGAACGTAAACTGCCACGCACCACAACTTAACGAGTACATGATCACGTACGCCAGGAAGAGCGTCCAGAAAGGTCGTGCCGACGTAGTGGCGAACGAACAAGCCCACTCCAGCCATCGGCTGACCCGTAGGGCCAGTCTTACAATCACTGATGAAAGCCTTCCACCCGTTGCGTTGGCACCATTCTTCTGCCTGAAGCCGCTGGTCCCCACGAACGTGAAGCTCCTGATACGCGACTATGAGAGCCCCAGCGGCGCCTTCCTCGAGAAAGCCTCTGAGACGTGTCCAACCCTTGGCGTTGTAGGTCACACATGCAAGCGGCTTCCTTTTGCTTCGTCTGGGCGCCCGTCGTGCAAATGTTGGAAAATGAAGTCGATCACCTGCTGGCCGTGATAGCCTCATGCCGCTCCCAGTAGCAGCCGATCGATGAGTCGATTGATCTGCCTGTGGATAAGATAGCCTCTCGCCACTCAAACCCATGGAAGCCGTTATAGTAGTATCAGTAGTATCAGCACGCTGCCCCCCCCGAAGGTCGGTACGACCCGCCCCTAAGCGCACCCCGAGGCGAGAACGACGAGCCGTGCGTGCCGACGGGACTAGGTCCCGAAGGTCGGTACGACTCGCCGCCAATTGCCCCAGAGAGCTGAGGAGTCGAGCCGTGCGTGCCGACGAGAGTAGGTGCCACCACAGGTAGTTCAGACAAAGGCAGGTCGTCCAATGACCAAACCCGATTGTTGACCAGTCGTGGCATCGGAAAGTATACGAAAGAAATAACAGCTTTACTCGCTATCCTCCATCTCGGCCTCTGCGTCAACGGCATCCTGGGCCCCCTGCATCTCGAGGAGGGGTGCCCATGGGTGTGCCTGCGGAGTGCCTGGGGCTGTAACACTGGCTTGAACTGCGGACTGCAACTGTGCAAGCTGATCCTGAAGTGTCTGAAGCATGGTTGGGGAGTTGCCTGCAAGTATCGCCGCTGCGGCCCCTGCCACCACCGTCTGTAGCCGACCCATGGCTTCCTGCACTGACAGTACATCTGATCCAACGGGCTGGGCGGTGGCAGCGAGTACGGCGGTCCTGGCCAGGTGCACCTCAGACTGGATGTTCTGCAGCTCCGTGTTGGCCTGGACGAGCGCCGACTTTTTGTCACCAAGCTTGATCTCCAACTCAGCGACTGCTTGGTTAAGCTCATCAACCTCTTTGGATTTGGCGGTGTGCCTGTCCAAGGATCGACGAAGCATATCGTCTGGTGTCCGATGAGCTTGTTCCCGCTCCTCGGCCACTTGCAGGTCACGTCGAGCTTGTTGAATGACTGGGGCGTCATCGCCCAGGCCGCACTTCCGTAGGGCTGCCAATGCTCGCCGTGCCTGAGCAACTCCATCAGCGGGACTGGATGCACCACTGCTGTCGCCGTCAAGTTTCTTATCCTTGTCCTTTCCTCCCTCGCGGGGACGAGAGGATGGTCTCCGTGAAGGTGGTCGCTTCCGTGGCACAGAACTTGGGTCAGGTACACCACGGCGGTCGCGACCGCACTGGTAGCAATTATCGTTGCTGGCGTAGTTGCCCTCGAAGCCGCACTGACGTGTCGCCACGCATGCCCATCTCGGCTCCTTCTGGACTTCTGGCCTTCGGCCTCGTCGGGCGCCATTCCCGTCGACGGCGGGGGGGGGCACCACGCATGTGAGGCTCTTGAGACCCGTGATGCTGATTGAGTAGGTCCCGCAGCTTGACAATCTTCAGGAAACGCCTGGCGTGCGCGCGAGCCCGACGGCGGGCCCGATGCCAGGCGGGTGAGCGAGATCGCCCTGCAGGTATGATGAGTGTCGACTCGTGCGTGGGCGCGCACGAGCCTGGGGCGGGCAGTGCAATATGAAGCAGTGCAACAACGCACCGCAGGGAAATGTCTCCCACGGCCTAAGCCCACGCCTGAGGAGGAGGAGGAGGAGGAGGAGGAGGAGGAGGAGGGGGAGGAGGAGAGGAGGAGGAGGAGGGAGGAGGAGGAGGAGGGGAGGAGGAGGAGGAGGAGAGGAGGAGGAGGAGGGAGGAAGGGAGGAGGAGGAGGAGAGGAGGAGGAGGAGGAGGAGGACAGGAGGAGGAGGAGGAGGAGGAGATGGACGAGGAGGAGATGAGGGAGGAGGAGGAGGGAGGAGGAGGAAAGGGAGGGATGCGGGAGGGGGAGGGATGGATGGAGGAGGGAGGGAGGGAGGGAGGGAGTGATGGCTGGAGGGAGGGAGGGATGGAGGGAGGGAAGGAGGAGGAAGAAGAGGATGATGATGATGATGCTGATGATGCTGCTGATGATGATGATGATGAGGATGATGATGCTGGTTCTGATGATTCTGATGATGACGATGATGATGATGATGATGATGATGATGATGATGATGAC